ATAGGAAAGGAAGTTGAGATATAGGCAATGTGCCCTTATTGATAGAAAATCTTAGAAATCCACTAACATAAAACCAAAACTCAGGGCTGATTAAATTCAGTAAAATTAAGGATATAAGAACAATATACAAAACCAATGGCGTTTCTCTGTACTACTAGAAGCTCCCCAAAAGAAAAATCAAGTTCACAAGGCTTCACCCCGAGAGGAAGGTCCAGAGGTAGACAACGGCTGTTGAAGTGGAGAGTTTCCTCCAGACATGAACTCCCTGATAGGTTATCCAATCATAAATGGACAGTCCTAAACACACATACATGTTTACAAGACTACTTGTATTCTGTAGAGTGTGTGACTGTATGTATGTACATATGCATGTATGTATGTAAAACACAACAATAATTGCAGAAAAGGTCATGACTTCAAGAGTGGATTGTTGTGGGGGGAACATAGAAGGAGTTGTAAAGGGAGAGGAAGGGGTTGAAGTGAGTTAAATACAATGTGCCCATGTATGGAAGTCTTAAAAAATTAAAATTATAAAGGGAATCATATTTATAATAGCTACAAAATAATAAAATACTGAGTAACAAATTTAACCAATATGAATTACATATACTTTTACATCTATAAAGTATAAAGAAATGGTGAAAGAAATTGATTAAAAACACAAATGAATTAAAAGATATCGCATATTCATGGACTAGAAGAACAAATAATGTTAAAGTGCCTGCAGTACTCAAAGAAATCTAATGTACTGCCTATAAAATTTTTCAATGACCTTTTTCCAGAGAAACAAAAAATTTCTGCAATCTGTATGGAAGTTCATAGCATTTCAAATAGCTGAGTTAATCTAGAGCAAAGAAGAATGTAGCACTATCCATCACAGTTCCTGGTTTCTAAATAAGCTACAAATATAGATAGATAGATAGATAGATAGATAGATAGATAGATAGATAGATAGATACATACATACATACATACATACATACATACATACATACATACATAGATAGAGGATAGAGATATGCAAATATAGATAGATAGATGATAGATAGATATATGTATGTGTATGTATATATAGCATTATATATATAAATGAGTACATATATAAATGAATAATATAAATGAAAATTATATGAATATATATGACTACTAATATATGTCTATTAATAGAATAGCATATAGACCAGTGGAACAGAATCAGATCCCAGAAATAAAAGCTTCATCAAGAATCAGTTGATTTTCAACAAAGCTGTCAAGAATATACAATGGAGAAACCTAAAACTCCCCAGTAACCAGTGATAGGAAAACTGGACGTTCACATTCAGAAGAATGAAAATAGACCATTATCTCACATGTTCAAAAGGCAATTCAAAATTGATTACTTAACTGGATTGTCTGAAACCATAAATATTTTAGAAGGAAACAGAACAAAAGATGTTGTGCTGAACTTGACAAGGATTATTCTCAAATAGAAAAACTAACATCATATTTAATTTTATTGCAAGGGTTGATTCTAAAAAACACACAGGAAAATTGATGAATGACAAATCAGATTATATCAAACTAAAATGCTTCTACTCAGCAAGAGAAGCAATTATCTAAGTAACAAGGCAAGTGCAAAGTTTGTAAACATATTTACCAAGCATTCATCTGAGAAGAAGATAATGTCAAGAATATGTAAGGAACTCAAGTGTAAAATACATACAACCCACTTAAAATGGACAACACATTTAATAGGCGTATCTTAAAAGGCTTATGGTCCAAGAGATATGTGAAAAAAATGCCCAGTGATACTAACTGTCCAAGAAATAAATGCAAATTCTACCTACAGTGAGTTATGAACTCACCTATGTTAAAGATCACCATTATCAAGAAGACAAGAGATAAGAATGTTTGGTACAGTTTTGGAGAATAGGGAATCCTTACATTCTATTGTTGGGAGCGTAACTTAGTTCAGCTGCTACAGATAATGGCAGATAGTTCCCCCAAAGAATTAAGAGAACTGTCATATGATCTAACAGTCCCATGATTCAACATATAATGAAAGAAAATAAAAATAGTGTGCCATGGCTTGTATGTACTTCCCTACATGACAGCACCATTCATAACAATCAATACATAGTATCATGATAAATGGCAGCCACAGATGAACAAATGAAAAAAATAACAAATATATACAATTTTCATCAATATTATATAATTATACATGCAACTGGAACACTATTTGAAATTTTAAAAGAAGCAAAATAGGGCAACCAGGAGGGCATTTTGAAAAGCAGGCAAACTCCTACCCCAATAACCTCCTCCCTGCCTGTTTAAGCCTCCTACACCCTTCCCCAACACCTGCCATACTGACTACATCTTTAGAGTCTTAAACTTAAGTTGTAGCTGTAGATGGGGACTCATGGCTCCCATTTTCATTTAGTATTTTATCCCCTGCACCCACTCCTTTCATAGAACCTCGTCAGGAGAATACCTCTGGGGTGCAGGTTCTTGGTCCACATCCAGGGACGGCTCCTCTAACCAGGTTGAGAGTAGTAATTAGTTTTTTATAGTCCTCTGTTTACTAAGAGTCTGCTTTAGGAAGAGGTCAGGGAGGAACCATGCAGTGGAATGACAAATGAGACACTGCAGCCAGGTTTTGTCCCTGGAGCCTGTCCTGCACTCTTCTGCAGTTAGGTAATGGGGGTGGGGAGCTGTAGTCCTTTCCAGTGGAAGGCGAAAGTAACTCACATGGTGATTTAAAACCTTCTACCTTCCTCTCTGAGCCTAAAGGAGCTGCTGGCCCCAGAAGGTTGGGATCAATCCTGTGTTACATTTACTTTTACAAAGAAAAAAGGTATGTGTATATTTATCAGCAGAAAAAAAAGGTCCCTCTGATGTTTCTAGTGGTGACTGAAATAGATCCATGTGGTCACCAGAAAATAAGCCATTCCTCATAGCAGATGGGATAAACTCCTTGTCCTCAAGGGGCAGAAGTGCTTCTTGTTGTGTTAGATTTCCTCTGCCGTGTCCTGTAGAGATGGGGTGCCCCTTGATCCTATGCAGGTTTTGTCTTTCAATGTCTGAATTATGTTCCAGCTGCTTGGCCCTACCATGTGGGTTTAGAAACTTGTCTTGGGCATAACTACTAAATCTTTCCAGATCAGTATAATAAAAGAGTGATGTGCAATTGAAAAAGAAGAAGAAAAGAAAAATAAGCCAAATATAGAAGATAAATACTGCATGATTTCACTTGTGTGTGGAAACATAGAAAGTGACGATCACAGGCCAAGATAGCGGGGAGCCAAGGGATAGAGAGGATGCTGGTCAAAGCATGCAAAGTCCTGTTACAATGAAAGGGTAGGTTTTAAACTGGAATGTATAGCATGCTGATTGCAGTTTATGTGTGTTGTATATTTCAAATTTGCCAAGAGAGTTTGTTTCCATTGCAGAAATATTTTAACCATGTGAAATTACATATACATTTAGTAGCTTAATGTGATCAGTCCATAAACAAATAGTAAAATATCAAGTTGTGTTCCATAAATGCATATAATTGTTACTTGTCTATCAAAATGAAAAGTAGAGAAGCCATCTGAAGTTTGACAAAAGTTTGTTTTTACAAATACAACATATATTTACAAGTTTTACAAGTTTTCCACAGTTCCACTGACTATGCTCAAAACACATTAGACTTTGACAAGAAGTAATGATCTGTAAAAAATGCAACAAAAACAAACAAAACCCAAGATCCCACAAACTGGTAACAACAAAGGAAAAACCACAATCCAGAAGAAATTATCCTTAGTCCTTTTACCCAGGAATCTGAAAAAGTAATCTGGTTAAGCACATCTCCTGGGTGTGTGCTGGGACCACAATGTCACCTGCACTCAGGAATGGCCCTCTTCTGCATGAGTGTAACAGGGAGGTCTTAAACAGTAGAAAGCAGGAAAGAGGAGGGCGACCTGCAGAGCCAAGTTCTAGGCAATGCTGAGTGTGTGTGTGTGTGTGTGTGTGTGTGTGTGTGTGTGTGTGTGTGTGTGTGTCTGCTATCACACTGTACTAAACATAAAGAGTGGCTCTGAGCCTGCCAAACTCCAGTATATAAAGTCTATGTTAAAAGATTAAATTAAACCTTTCCCCCATTTTTCTTTAGCAAACATTTTCATTCCATGGGCTATCTACTTTTAGACACCTCATTTTCAGAAGAAGTCAGAAAGGTCACAGTTTTCTAGGTAAAAGTGAATATATTAAATTTCATTTTCTTAGGATTAGAATGGGGCTTCTGTCTACTGAAGTTCTGTACAAGACAGGGATATTGATCAGGTTTAATGTAGATTACCTGGAAACACTGGTCTCTTAAACAATATGAGCTGAACTGTAAAGCAAAAGAGAATCTTGGTTTCATTTCCTAGCTTTGAAAAGGATATTTAATAGCTAAATGTTGCTCTAGTCTCTCAAGAGATTGCAGTCTTGAATTTAAGTTTATTCAAACACACTAGAGGGCAGAGAAGTGTACACAACCCAGTTACATTCTAGGTACTACAGCAGTCAATAGTCTTGGAAGAAAACGCTCACTCAAATAGCCATATCTTACACCAATTCCATGAATTTCTATACATGTATAAGCGACGATTGAGAAATTTATCATTGTTAAAATCCCTGATCAATATGAAAAGGTTTTTCTTGTGCATTTAAACACTGTGGATTTAAAGGGAACTCTCCTTTACCAGGTGCATTTAGATGGAGCCCAGCACATCCCTCCCATTCACCACATTAACAAGTGCTATAGCCAGAGCTTACGATGGAATTATGAGGGCAAATCTTGGGAACATTTCTTGAAGCAAGACTACAATTATGTTAAGTGTGCATTCAAATGAACAAAGACCAGAATCGTTATTTAAATGTACAAAGTAATATTGGACAAGTTGAACGGTAGGTGTCTTTTTCATTCTGTAAAAGGGCATTAGTGGTGAAACGGGGCAAATCCAATGAAAATGATTGAAATCCCAGGTACTTACCGTTGTTGGAAAATAACGACTAGTTTTGAACTTTTTCATAGCCATTGAAGAGGTGTAAGTGCCCAGGAACAGGATGAAGGACATAAGTGTGATATCAGGAACAAAATCACAGCTGTTTCCCACAAGCTTGCCTCCATATTTCAAACACTCCTTCTTTGACAAATAGGCCCAGTCAAAGGTAGCATTGTGGTACTGAAAATAATAAAATAGGGATTTTTTTTAAGAAGGAGAATACTGACACATCTAAAGCAGCTTTCCATACTTGATGGGATCTATAGGAACTGCACTAGAAACACCTACAAAACAATGTGAAAATAATCACTGGAGAATTCACCCAACACGGCCTTACTAGAGTGACAGGGGCTAAAGAGCCACAGTGAGCGGGATGCAGTGTGGTGCAGTTTGCTCTTCTGCCTTACAATCTGACATTTGTTCAACAGTAACAAACCATAAAGCCCCTCTTTCTTGCCAGCCTTCCTGTGGGTCAAATGAGATACATTAATACCCTAGACCTCAAAATGGGAGACTTCAGAAACACCTCTATTGCCCACAAAGAACTGGGACCACACTCACTGACCTTATGGTACCAATGCTCTAAGTGTTACAGGAAGGTAACTGCCCCACAAGTAAATTATTTCTTATCTTAGTAAGCACACCCTAGTGACTGAAGAAATGATACTATCCAAGTGTGCACACTTCCAGACTTCTCAGTCGCAAACCCAATCCAGCATTGCATTTTTCCAGGTCAGCACATGGAACATCCATGAGCAGAATGATGTGACAAAATTCGCACCCCTTCAGCTATGTGAGAGCTCTCTAGTCCTGCGTTCCCATGATCTCAAGCACATGGGACAGCTTCATGTGTTCCTGTCCTGTTGTCAATCCTGGCAACTTTCTTTCTGGCCACTCCCCCCTGCCCTGCTTTCTGATCTAATACACAGGAGAATCTCCCTGTGAGTGTCATGGGTAGACCTATGCGCCTGCCGTAGCTCCTACACAACCACAGCCAGCTGCTTTTTGGCAAACTGCCTCTTATCATCCAACAGCCACATCAACAGTTACTGCCTAAGCTACCTGCTTCTGCTCAAAGAGGGGGTAGCTGTGGGACAAATTGTCTTCCAAAATTCCCCATGTAATCAGCCTGAGGCTAATCTCAGCTGAGACACATCTTTGTTCACAATTTTCCTGTCCTAAACTGTTTTTCTTACTGGATTTTGAGGCACCCTCTCAGTGACATAGAACTAAAATTCCTGCATTCTAATCTACTTTAAGCAGCAGTCGGCTTACTTTACTTACAGGGCAACTACAAGTTAATGGCCTCTAAGTCCCAGGAACTTTTTCTAGAACCTAATATCTGAAGGAAACCCTAATTGATTTGAGCAGTTTTCTCACCCTTAGTATTCAACAGTGCAGGGGTGAATGCTCCCCTTCTGCCTCATGATTTTCTGTGATGAAGTTACTTGGCAGCTCATTCACTTATGGGAAAGAATCTCTGTGCAGCTATTTCTTGTACTTGAGCCTTATTCAATAATTAGTCTTTAAGTATGTTGGCCTTGCTGTACATAGAACATTTGTTCATACTGTGCAGCAATACCTATTTCCCAGACCTTCTCTGCTTAAATGAATATTAATGTGGTTAGTGGAAATGACTGGGTATCTCATCTAAGAAAATTTCTAACTGCCTCATAACTTACATCTTCTTGGGTTCCAGGCTAAAAAGGCATTGTATGATAATGAGAGTTAATTGGAAATACTTTGCAAAGAAGTATGGAATGGAAATTTTCTGTTGTCCTTTAAAAGAAAGAGTTCTATGTTGCATCAAATAAATCACCATCTTTTGCCATTTTAAGAATTCTCTTGATATCAATGGTCCAGTCTGGCCAGAAAGGGAGGAGGTTTTCATAGAGCTCAAAAGACAAAATGCCTGTCCAAGGTAATAAAAATCAACTCCTAATCTTCATTTGAAATATTTTCCTGTTACCTCCAATTGTACATAGTTGAATTGCATAACTGCTTTTATCGAACTCTGAAAGGTGATTAATCATGCCTTGTGTTTTTTGTTTTGTTTTAGATTTATGCATATAGATGCCTTCGGGAGACTAGAGCAATGCTTAGAGGTCATAACTGGTAACATATTTCTGTGCTTTAAAAATCAGCAAAACTGTGCCCTAATTTCCCATCAGCAAAGTAACATCAGCAGAGCACTTCTCTATAGTTGGAATTTCCCCAAGAATGTAAGATACACTGGAACAACCCCAAAAGGAATTTTCATCCATTTCCTCACAAAGTTCAGGTGAAATTGGCATGGATACAGATGCAAAGACAGTTAGTTTATCTTCCATCAGTTATTTCAAAATGGCAATGCCAATATTGTAAAAGTGCAAAATGAATCTGTTATTGTGGTCTGACAAAGTTAACCTCAAGACCCATCTAAGGTCTCACATATTAAAACTTTAGGCTACTAGCATATATCTTAACATAGATAATTTTTCAAAATAAAAACCCTAAAGTGTAGCTGATCATCAGTTCAACTTAAAGACTATGGGAAACACATCTCTATGATTTGTGTTTTCTCTGATCTTTCATAGAAGGTGATGTTAAGCAAAGGTTAGTTCCTTAAGACTTCAGATAGACCCTAAACCATGAAGAAATATATACAGAGCCTTGGCTACTACTTGAGTCCAAGTCACCATTGTCGGCTGTGGGTTAATTCAGGAGTCTCAGCATCTCATGCCACTGTCTTTTATCTCTTTGTACTCACATCTATGATTTTCATCTTTATTCCTTATGCAATATACTCTCTTCTCTTTAGGAATAGGACACATGGGAATATTGTCTCAGAAATCTCTGACTGTTATAATTCTCATACTAGTTCTATTTTCTTAAGATGCTTGTAATTTTGCATAGCAATGGCTAGAGATATGAATTTGGAAATCCTTGGAAAGATGTCTAATGGAGCTAGTGGGGGGATATCAATGAACTGACTTGGGAGTGATAGCTCAACACAACAACACATATTCTGAGTGAAAATGTGGAGATCATCCAGTGTGCCAATGAGGGACATGAGAGCCCACAAAGGCAATGGATGGATTAAAACGATAGGTGAAAGAAACACAATGGGTGAAGGAATAAGTGGGAGGGAAAAGCTGCAACAGCAATTACAGACTTTTTCAAACCAAATCCAGCAGCAGAAGATATTCTAGAACACAAGAGCATTTGCAAGGTCTTTAAGATGAGTTTTTCAGGGACAGTAAACATAAAAGCTGTTCATGGGGGAAGAGACGATTTAAAAAAAAACACCCAAATTCAACTATTTGTGGAGATGAAAAGGAAAGGGGGGGTTAGTAAGAAAACAAGAACGGAAAAAAAAAAAAAAAAAAACAGACAAGTGACCAAACGGATACTGATTGTGGCCTAGGCACAATGGCAAATGGTAAATTATACGGCCAAAGGACCAACAGGACTATGCACCCAGCAGTACAAAAGAAAGAGGAGAGTAGAGTTCAGTTTAGGGTATGGCAGGCACCAGAGAAGCCCTGTTAACTGAGTGAATAAAGTCCTTCATCAGGCCTGCAGTATATGGCATAGTCAAAGAAGGACTGTGCCAATTCGTCTGTGCAGAGGGGAAAGTTAAAGTGAATGTTCAGTTTAAAATGGCGAGATGAAATACAAGATGCTCAGTTACTACTCAACCTTAACAATGTGTAAGCATGTCCTATGCACTATTCAGGATATACACTAAAATTATTAAATATTTGCCTGATACTCAAATATAATTGAATATTCCATATTTTGTTAGTACAATCTGACAATGCTATTTCATTGAGTGATAGGATATTTTGAGTAACAATAGACAGTAGAAAATTAAAAAGAAATCCCCACAGGGATCGAGAATGCAGTGAACTCAAATACATGGATGAATTAATATAAGCTTTAAGGGGGTTAAAAAAGAAAAGATTAAAGAAACAACAATGTTTATAAGTTTCCTTAGAGAAATAAAATGTTTGCTTGAAAATTACTTAAATAATATAAGGTAGTGAAAAAAACTCTGTAAGTGCATGGATAGGAGAGCAGAGAAGCAGACGAGGAACTCAGCTATTAAACTGAGTACAGAGAAGACAAGGTTTGCACTGAGCCCCAAGAGCAGGACTGGTCTTAAAGCACTTTCCTCCTTCAAAGGTAGCAGGAAAAGCAGGACAGCAAAACTAAGAAACCACAGGGAATGAAACCAATGGATGAGGAAAATGAGTGACAGATTTGATGTACATTTCTCTATGTATCAGTAGACACATGGGAGAAGAATAAGACAGTGTGAGCAAGGAGGTTCACATGGCGACACATGTGTTCCTGTGTTAGGGACAGCCGCACTCACCATGGAGGAGCTAGTTACAAGTGGTCAGATGGAGTAAACTACACTGTGTAAAGGGGTAGTGAGGGAAAGTGTTTACAAAAAGAGAAGCAAGCAGCTGAGAAATTCCAGAATGAACAATCTCCTGAAGAGATGACAAGTCATTTTTCTGTATCTCATTTTCAAGAGAATTGCCCTTGCTCATACTAAAGTGGATTTGACAACAATTCTTAAAAGTATGAGGACTTTCTTAAAAACTAAAGTTCCGTATTGTTCCCTCCCCCGAAAAATAGGAAACATGAGACAGAATAGACAAATGTGGGAAAACATTGAGTCTTGGGGACATACATATGGCAGTCCATTTTTCTTTTTGATTTTAGCTCAGTGCATATCTGAAGTTTTCTACAACATATTTTTAAAGTAGGAATATGTGTATCTATAAACATATTTAAGGACAGGATGTTTTTATGCCTGATTTTCTCAATGGGAGAAAACTACATGGATGCCGTGTATATGAATATTAATATGACATTCTGATTCCCATTAAAATGAATGTTCACTCCCTGACTCACCCTCAAGGTACATCAGATCAAACCACTATTGCTGCTATGTCAAACTGTCCAGTAGAATAATGTGACTGTAAAATTCTTAATCCTATGGCTTTCAGATTCTCCAGTGTAGACATTGTGAATTCCATTGGGTAGTATAACAGAGTAAATAAATAATAAAGGTCTACATTCTTCTCCTTCAACATATACAGGCTGGTAAAATGTGCTCTTTTAGGTATGATTTAGTGACACTTTATGTGTGTGTGTGTTTGTGTACATATATACATATACACATACACATACACATACACATACATATATATATATATATATATATATATATATATATATATATAGAGAGAGAGAGAGAGAGAGAGAGAGAGAAGTAACTGATCCACTTAGGGCTTTTCCCACCAAGGGCAGGTATGTTTACATAATCTCCAATCTTACTTTATCATGTATAGCATATATTTGAGCTGCAGTTCTTTGTACTCTCATAAATATTGAAATATAGTGGTTATTCTGCTTGTGACTAAGATTATATTTCTGAAAGGTCGAGTTTATTGCTCCCAGACAAATATACAAAGCAAGCTAGGTAGTTTGTAAAATCAGAGTTTAAAATCTCCCAGAGATGAGGATGTAAAGACATTTAAATAAACAAAACTCTGAAATGTTACAAGTCCCTTGTAGTAAAAAGAGACCCACTGGGCAGCAAGTGCCATATTCAGGGTCTTCTGAAAGGAAAAGGCATCTGCCCTCCGAAGACCAGGATGAGCTTCTCTCAGAAAGCTGGGCGGGGGGGGGGGGCAGTCAACAGAACTATCCCATAGGGCTTCCTGGAAACAGGAAATGGTTTATGTCTTGATTGTGACAAGGCACATGCCACTGCAAACTCATCAAAATGAGCTCATTGGAGCTGTGCATTAAAGGGATGCCTGAAAGGAACTTAAAATAAGGTCAAAGAGGAATCTCGTGCAGGGAGCAAATACTAAGGAATTTATTCAGTCATCTCTCGGGGATACTGATGCTACATTTTGACATCAGTGCTAGAAGCTGGAAGCCATCAGATACAGTGTGCCACCAGCTGCACATCCTCGCAGAGCCTTTTCTTCAGCAACCTTTCTTTGCAAGGTAAAGAAAAATAACCAGGAAGGTGTCAATGGGAAAGGTGGCAGAGATGAGGATAAAATAATTACAGCAATAAAGGAGAACGCCGGAAATGCTGTTGTAATCCTCAGGGGAGTTTGCCTCCATAGTTCCCATTTGCCTGGAGGCTGAAATGCCCCTCTTCCTTGCCCTTTCCCCTGAACCATGCACAGGACAGCTTGTCTTTATGTTAATGAGCATGAAGGGGACAGACCTTCATTCCTCTAACACCTGGAGCCTTAGGAAAGAAAGGCCCACTGGCTAGGGCCCTCTTGTCACCTTACTGCACCTCTCTTAAAACTTACATAGGGATCAAAGGGAAAGAAGGAAATTCAGTCCTGAGGACCATGTGTCCCAGGAGAAGTTCAGAGAAACATCCAGCATTAGGCAGCATACAGACAACTTGTGCCTTTCAGAAGTAATGGTTTCTTCTCCACTAACAGCCAAGGTTGCTGAGGGAGCGTGGCCAGTGGGGGTCAGAGTATCTGAGGACAGTAACACTGGCTGCAAGCAGCTGCTCTGCTCAGTGCTGGCTAGCAGCTGAACTGGCCTGCAGTACCTGTGAGGCTAAGAAGCAATGTGAAAGCAAGTGTCTTTACAATCCTTATCTCAGGTTTTTATCGGCTTTTTCTTAAAAACACAAAAAGATTTTAACTAAAATTCTTTAAAACCTAGAAGGAAGCATTTCCTCCTCTATTTTAGGCAAGTTCTTCTGGGTTGGCTGGCAAAGAAACTAAAATATGAATTCTTCTACAGTGACTTTTAACATGTAGATATATTCCTACACATAAACAGACACACACACACACGCACACACACACATACATGCACACACACACACATGCACACACATGCACACACACACATGCACACACACACACATGCACACACACACACACATGCACACACACACACACACACATTACAGACACACACACACGCACACACAGTATGAAACATAAAGAAGTAAAGACATATAAGGTTTGAAAAGTCAGAGAAAAGTCTAGAAGTAAGGAATGAAGTCAAGAAAGCCGGAGAATACAAAACAAGGGAGAAACAAGGTCATGTGAGAACTGGTCAGCAAAGACACAAACAGCATCTCTGAAAGGGACGCTGTGGGCTCTTGCTACACAATATCTGCAGAAGTGTTCTGGTCTCCTGAGAGATGGGCACTCTCTCAATACAAGGTATTATGTTTTCCGTCTTTGTAACTGGAAGATTGATATTCTTTGGTCAGCTTCCATATTTGGCGCAGAAGGAACAATCGGAAGGCTGAGATGGCACTTTCCCCATTTTCTTCAATATAAAAGTTTCCTCCCAGCATGTGATCTTCCATGCAAAACAGCTCTCTTTTAGAACTTAGTTCAAGTGCCTTAAAGGTCCTTGGTTACAAGCCATGGGAAAGGACACCATGTGATGGAGACTCAGTCCTTTCTAAGTAATGGGGGGAAATGTCCTGCTAGCTACTGTCAACCTTAGTGAAGGGAGGGCAGCACCAATTGGTCAGCCAGACAAACGCCTAGTCAGGCCAGAAACAGACAACATTAGTTCTTGTTTTCCAACATTCTCATTGCTCTTATAGAAATGTTTCAAGGTCACAAGCAATGGGATCTAGCATTAGGTTCTTTAAAAAGGTTTAAAAATAATATTACATGGGTAAATGTTCGTTTTACATCTTTTAAAGAGGGTGAAAAGCTAACTATGGTGGTGACAAATTTTCTTTTCTTTCTCTCTATGGGCAATGATGATCAACATTGTTAAATGGAGACCACACAGCTCAATGCATAAATTACCAACTGTGTGGGTAGTTTGAAATAGTAAATCACTTACCATGTCAGTAGAAGCAACTGTTGGCAGGTCTTCTGGGGCTAGTGTAGTATCATTAGATACAGAGAGATTAACTGTAAGAAAAGGACAATTTTTGACTATGAAAAATAAAATAGAAATAAAGTAAATGCATAATGACCTTTTAAAACACAGAACCGGGCATTAAAAATTCTAAAGCAACATACAACACCACGAAATGATATGTATTGTAACCGTATTGTTCTCACATTAAAATAAAGCAAAGGTTGAAGCACATGTGTATGACAGATATTTAAGAGATATTAAATTTGTTTCTGCTATTTTAAATCAGCCACACACTAGTGCTTTACCAGTTTATCTTAGAGAAAAAATAAAAAGTTAAGAGAAAAATAAATGCTACCCAAAACTGGGAGCAATTACTAAAAGTTTAGAATCTTATGTTGAGATCTTTACTATCTATAATTCTGCTTCTAGTGCATATTCAGTGTCTAATGAAAGAAATGACTGCCTATTATTACAGTGATTACCAACTTCACCAAAGATATCACACTTCGGAGATTCACTGGTAAAGCATTAGGAATTTGTAGTGTTTAGAAAACTGAATTGTGCATGATAAAGGCTATCTTTGCAAAATGTGTGAAAAAGCACAAACAATATAAATATAATGAGATATGTAATCCATCTTTAAACTTATTTTCATATAATGAGGCATCATTTGTAGATTTAAGATGTACCTTGCTGAAGAATTTATTTCTTAAACCAACATTTACTTTGGAAACATTTCATTAGTTATTTTATTTTATGGGCTGAACATTAAAATGTAGTATTTTAACTAAAATATTTCATTTTTTTTTATCAGATAGACTCTTTTTCTACTAAGAGGAATGCTTGCACTTTAAACTGCTATATATAGAGGAAATAATTAATGGTAATATGTAATATGTAACATGTAGCAAAGTCTATTAAGCTTTTATCTGAGAATCATATCATTTATTCAACATTTGATTTGAAAATTGTTCTTTGGTTTCTCCCCCACTCAGTCAATCTCCAGACTCATTTTAGCTCTCTATGCTTCAGACCTTGCCTATATAAACCTTGAAGGAGAAATGCATGACTGTGTTTGATGATTGATTTATAAAATAGGAGATCCATGAGAAGAACAAAAACAACACAGATACTCACTACTCTTCCCTAGAGTCTACCTAGCCCTCCATATCTCAATCACTGGTACTCAAATTATTTATCCATGGTCAGTTAAGAAATCTGGGAAAGGGTGTTTCTCCAGGGGAAATGAATGAGAATAAATACAGGCAAAAGAAATGGATGAGGCAAAGAAACTAAACGAGAGGAAATGCATGGCATGGGTTCCAGTTTGGGTCAATATTAAAATCTATTTTAGTCAGTGAAGGCTGGACATTGTATACATATTAGCCAGAAGGTTCTGCCTATCATCGCCTCCCTAACATGTGCATCATGTGATATGCTTTCCTATTCTGTTTCACTACAAATCCATGAGAGTCAAGTAAGCTAAAAAAAAAAAAAAAAAAACTTGACACGATTCCTTAAACAAAAACGTTAGTAAAGTATCATTAATTAAACTCAGTTTTTAGTGGTTTTTTTGTTTTGTTGTTTTTGAGAAAAGAACATAAAGTATATTTTCTTATAGTATTCAATTTGACCAAAACAAGGGATTAGAATTCAAAAAATATGGGATGGGTCTAAAGATATATCACAGTTGTGAAAGTGTTTGTCTAGCAAGCCTGAGTGCCTAGGTTTCAACCTCAGACCGAGTTAAAGAACCAGGTAGAGGGCTGGAACAGAGGCAGACAGACAATCAGCCATTCAAGTTCATCCTGAGCCATGTATCAAAGGTGAGGCCAGTCTGGGCTACATTAGACTCTGTTTCAAAAATAGGCAGTAAATAAAGAAACAAATGATCCTAGAACATATCATAGGTAAATGTTCCCAGGCCAAGATTCTGAAACAAACCATGACTTTGCTAAGTTTGCAATCAAAAGCATCCCCCAAGTTCAGACGTTATTTAAATTCGGCCCTCTTCTTTCTCTACCAGCACTCCTACTCATTAAGATCTAGATGATGGTGTTTATGAGCCAAGAATTCAAGGTGGGACAGCACTCACTAATGAGTCAGCATCCATGAACTCAGTGTCTAGTAGGCAGGGTGCCCTTCCTCAGCTAGCTTTTCAATGCAGCTTCACCAGCTTCCTAAACTTCTCTGCATTCCAAATGTGGTTAAAGAGTTGTGGAAGGTAGTCAAGGCTCTAAGTCTGTGAAATAACACCTATAGATAATACAGACATTAAGAGTCTGAAGTCTCAGGGACTGTTCCCAAGTTTCAGAAATGTATCAATCCCACTCAGCTATAGTTCTTTACATTTTCAGTGTTCATCTGAGATAGACTAGAAAAGTACACTGTTCTTAAAACTCCCAGAAGAGCAGTATCTAAAAAATAAGAAGTATATAATACTTTCTCTGCATATATATTTCTATAAATATATATTGGCAGGGTTTGGTGGAGTCCATAAATGAGATTAAAAGTAAATTTCTTTAGGCTCACTGATGAGAAAATGATCGATTACAGCTGGGCTCTTGATCTACAAGGGCCATTGGGCACCATTTAGATCCAGACAGAGTATAAACACTTTGGCAACCAATTGCAGACTGATCCATTTATAAGGCATCTGCAATATCCTTAATTAGGATTCTGGAAAGGTCAAAAGAAAAGCCCAGAAACACTGCACTCTGTCTTCACTTTCAGCTCAGCTTCAAGGCTCTGAGGAAAGTGCACCTCTCTGCTTTAACAATGTGGCTAATTTAGATCTAGCCAGTCATCACCCAGACAGTCTAGTCTATGCATCCCCACAGGTTTATTGTTTTCCATTATTTGGATTTTCACTTTCTTGGTCCCCCTTCTTAGATATCAACATTCAGTTGGTCCTCTGAATGGTGGAATGCATGCTGTTGGAAATAGATATTTTTAAAATGTGTCTATCACTTTTCAATCTTAAGCCAGATTTTCCTTCTTAGTGCTTATGGAAAGGTCTAGAAAAAGAATCAGGAGATGGAATGGCTTCACTAGCAAGAGGGGACATGTGTCAGTGTTGGCATACATCCTACACAAAGCAACTCTCTTCATTCTCCACAGACCTGAGGCCAAGGCTCCACGTGGCCCTTATTTATATACTAGCAGGAATTATAGCAACAGGAAGATGTACAAGCTCACTTGAGGCCATTCAGTCAAATGTGAGCAACAACTGGTCACTGCAGACAGGTCTAGCTATGGTGGGACACAACATCACAGGCAGAGAGGGGTATAGCATCCCTGACCTAAATTTCAACTGTGCCACATTTTGAGCACAGGGCTCTAAACTCCTTCCTTAACCCTCGTCTTGAAGAAGTTACTTCATTATCTAAAGCCACAGATCCTTCATTTGTGGAGCTGGCTTTGAATTCAATCACCCTGTAACGTGACAAAGTATTAAATGATGCAATATAGGGGGGAAATGCATGATTCCAGCTTCAGATCATAGCAAAGTAAATGTTGATAAGATTACTACTAACTTGACCTGAAGAAAGCAGAGCCTGACCTGTGATGAGGCGTACTGAGAGCTATTTCTCAGAGGTTTTTGTTGTTGCTGTTATTTGTTTGGTTGGTGGGTTCTGGTGTTTGGGTTGGCCCAGAACTCACAGAGATCTGCCTGCCTCTGCCTCTGAATGCTGGGATTAAAGGCATGAGCCACCACCGTCCAGCTCTCGAAGATTTTTGTGACGATCAAATCTACAGATATAGTACTATTGAAACAGGTTTACTGAAATCCCCTTGTAAATGTCTTCCATTTGGATGGTGATGACGAAATATGTAATCTGAATCTTGTGGTTTCAATAAGACAGAGCTGAAACCAAGGAGACTCTTAAGGTTACTCTAGAATTATCAGACTTCAATGCTTTACTCTAAGCCTTCTCATTGTCCTTAGGAAATCAAGCAAGTGGGAAGCAGACATAAAATAAAACTGAATCTTCTTGCTCCAGGATCGTTCCAGGGGCCTGGTTAGCTTGATGATACCACCTCACTTGATAAAGTTGAGTCTGTGCTTTAAATGTCTAGGTCAACAAAAGAACAAAAACAGCTTTTGTAGGTAATGGCAAAGTAAATCAGGATAAATCTGTGAGAAAGGGCTATGGGTTACCACTCTCTCAGCCCTAAGTCTAAGAACAAAGTTATATAACTTTAAAAATTTTTTTTGGTTATTCATTTTCCTAAGTACTTTTTACCAAACCCAATAAGTGAGAGTTCCTATGACTAACAAGTTAGTCTGTCTTCAGTCACAGATATTCTTCTCACACGTTCACCTAAGACACCATGCTGTTGGCTAAAGAACGGAGCTACAGTGGATGTACAAATGGAACACATTTAGTCACTATTTCTATAAAAATATCTCCTCCGTATCCACCCATTGTCATGCTCCCAATATGCCACAGGCATTATTCAAGAGAAGTTGTCCAAATACATGTTTTATATAAAGGCAAAGCTAGAGACTATTTCCAGTTCTGGTGATAATTCAAATCCATTCCTTTCCCCATTTCCGGTCTCTACAAGTCTTGTGGGGGAACTGCTGAAATATAAGTAAATGGAGACTGAATTGATGAGTGTCTCAGGCATTTGTGACTTTCTCAAGGGTCACCATGACCATGAATGACAAACCATCAACTGTGCAAAATGAAGGTCAGTCTCAAGAGCAAGCATGAGGAACTCATAATTTCAAGTTTTGCTATTACTTTATGATTTAAACCAACTTCATTAAAAAAAAGGAATGGCCTATCATAAAAGGGAAATTACATTTAATATGGCACCACTCGTGAATGATAAGTTAGGACCATGCTGCATTTCCTTATGTTCTACAACTGGGATTTCTAATTATGAAACTCATATTGACAACCCCATTGTGCCACAGTATTTACATTGAGCCCAGAAGTTCTTTTCAATGGTGGTAACTTGTTATCGTGATATCCATCTATTAGGCTAAGAGAAAAGCTATGTACGAAGAAATGATAATGAAATTCTATTATAGTGACAA